ATTTTAGTTTGATTACGTTAATTAGCAAACTGTTCTAAAAAAATGCTACGAATTAATTAAACTGTTCCGTAGTAACGCCTGTTTGATGTTTACCTAATTATTCTTAAGTATTTTATTTAAAATTGTATAGCATGAGTGTCGCCAAGGTGGAATTGGGGGCAGTTGCCCCTACATCTAGCTTATCATCGGCTGGGGGAGCCCATTTTGTTATTATTTAAATTGAATCCATCGAAATCAATGATTTTACTCGTACATACGTGCTAAACGCTTTGTGAAGTACAGCAATAAATGTGCAAATTAAGAACAATTTATTAAATTAATGACAATATAACGAGTAAAATTTCGAGAAATCGTTCGTAAAATTTGTCAGTTGTGGTATGACACCTACAGTTGGCGTACTGACAAATTCCTCGCTGCGCCGCGCTTTGTTAATGGATACATTATTACACTGCTTTTATTTGCGAGTACTTAACATATTCCGACTGTATACATGTATAATTAGTTATGTCATTGTTAAATAAAATTATACATAAATGCGAAAGATTAGTTGGATGGATGTTTGTGTTTGTAGTCTTAACGCCTGAACGGCATGAAATTTGGCATAGATTTAAAACATATACTGGAAGAACACATAAACAACTTAGTTACTTCGGTATTTTTTAATTCTTGAGCATAAGCTAGATATTATTGGCTTTTTTGGAGACTGTCCCGAAGAGCATCTATTCGATTTCATTGTAACATAAACGGTTATGGTAAACGAAACATTTCTGAGACAGAATACGAGGCGAACGTTAAAAGATAAGTGTAATTTTTCTTCGATTTCTCTTCTTCAAATGGTTTTATAGAGAGGTACCTCTAAGGTCAGTTGCCATTGTTTCTTTTTAATTGCACATGCATCTTTAATACATTTTTTGTTTTCACTTTAAAAACTTGTTTACAAAAAGATAAGCTTTAAACTTAAAAAATCTATTTGAAATAACTTTTACACGAAGCTTCAAGTAAAGCGCCATAGAGTAAATATTGCTGTATTTTCATGAAAAAAAATTATTTATATGCCTATAAATAAAGTTTTAATTTTATTGCTAGGTTATTAAAGTAGGAACGGAACTATTTTTTTACGCAAATAAACTGATCGCGTAATTTTGTCTCGTCTCAGAATTTATGGTGCAATCTGCCGTACGGTTCTATGATATTTTTAAAATCGTACTTTGCTGGTTATAACAAGTTTTCCTTTGTTACGTAAATAATGTAATTGTGTTTATTTATACGCTTTTATTACATAAAAAAATAACATCAATGTTAACAATTTATTTCTTCAAATTATTTGCAATGATTAATTCGATCGTATTGATAATAAACGCTTATATTTCATTATTTATTACTTATACCAAGTTCAATTGTAATTTTATTAATTGTATTACTACAAAGGTAGAGAAAGATCATAGAAAGTATGCATGGATTGTGTGAAAGAAGATATGCTTAAGGTAGTGTACTCAGATATGACCACTGATAGAGATGTATGGTAGAGTACATACTGAGCCGTCCCTCAGACAAGGGTAATTTTATGGTTGATCTACGTCTGACTTTTAATGAAATAATATTTAAATAAAAATTAGAAGTAACATCGTAAGCCCATGCAAATCTCATATTATATAGGTATTTTATTTGCCAATACAATGAAAGTAAAATTAACTAGTTATAAATACAAGTGTAGACGTCAGTATATATTTTTTATTTACTTATGATTTATCTAAGGATTAAGATATATATATCTCTATTCATTTTTTACTTTGCTTGATATTTCTTTGATGTCATTCGTTATGTCTTACATAAGAGTAAACGATTTTATATGTGAAATGATCCCTTTGATGTGCCGCTTTACATGTAATTAATGCTTTTTTATGTTTTAAATGAAGGGTGTCAAAGTATTTTATACCTGGTGTGATCTGAGATTTATGTAGACAGTTATGACACCTATCTTAAATAACGAGATGAAGAATTCGATTTGAAACTGAATTATTACTTAGGAACAGGACTTCCAAACGATTTTTAAGTCACTTTGAAATACGTGTAATCTGTCCCACCACTGGCTCAGATACCTAAAAAATGACGTCACTCTCAAATAAAGGAACAAAATCCGATATTTCCATCACATTTTTTACACATTGGATTGTTATTAGATAATTTACAATTCGATGGGACAGATCCTATATGAGTTCACCCAAATAAGTTAAAGTTACATTATGTTAGAGGAAACCAGTGTTCCATTTCATTACGTAGTTATCTTGTTACAATAAAAATTATTTAACCCATTTTTCTATTTACTTAAGAGAACGTCAAAAAAACTAAAAATTCGTACTTCAGGTAAGTAAAGTAAGGTGTTTAGTATTCTTATAAATTTATAAAACCTTGTGCTAATTTTTTTAACGTAAACATGTGTGCGAAATTGCGAACAGTAGAGCATACTTTGCAGCACAAACACATAAGGTTTGTTTATCTTCAAGGCGGTGTGGAGTGCGCAGTCTCACCTGTCCGTACGTCGGCTCTGGATTTATCGATACTTGTACGTCACTCGTCGTAACAATAACGGCAATTAACGTGGAACTACGTGCCGGTTATAGGGTTACTATCGCCCTGGGCGAATGGCGCGCCATTATGTCTGCCCTGGGCGGTTTCCATTCCGCGTTAGAGTCTAATGCTGACACTGGCCGTTTGAGTTGATGTTAAATTTCGTTAAAATTGATCGAGTTAAGAAATAATGTCGCATTACGTCTTACCTGAAAGCAGCTTTCACTCTAGTCCACTTAGAGACTTTAGATTTCTCCACTTCCTTTGAGAACACAAGATCTGATCTCCGTCTTATAGGAGTGGCGGGAGAAGCGTCACTCTCCTCTCCCCCCGCGGACCTTGACCTCTGCTTCCTGAGCAGGGAGCTGCCGAACCGACCGTGTCCTTTCATCTTCGACCCCGACCTCTTCATACTTCTCCCACCGGCCATCATCGTGTCGAAGATCGCCTGACCGTACTCACATTCCAATTCCGCATCCAACGCCTCATTTATAAGCTCCAATTCTCTTCCTTCTTCTTTTAACCGTTCAGACTCCTGGTCGATCCTTTTATGAGCTTCGTGTAGTTTTTTCAAATGGTTAACATCTCGCAGTCTTTTGAGAAGGCGTGCGTTATGTTCTTTCAATGTTACGAATTGGTCCAGCAGTTCTAAAAGCTTTTCGAGTTGATCCAAAGCTTCCAATGTATCTTTGGTCCGGAGAGCGAGGTCTTTTCCTCGTACGGAAAGAGGATCGTCGCGGTCTTTTAGACGCTGCAGCATACTCTCGCACAGAGCTTCAGCATCCGGGGTGCTATCGCTCAACCTCCAGTACTCCTCGAGGGTTGGAGCCCCAGTGTATGGGGAGGAGCCGTCAGTTTCTGAAGGGGTCTGCGGTGCTCTAACCGATAGAGACGCCGGCGCTTCGCCTCGCCGCCTCTTGTGCAGCGAAGTCCCGCTCGGTGGCAATTCGGTCAGATCTTTAGAATCTTTACGTTCCGCTTTACCGGGATTCTCATCAGGGGCGGCGCCGACGTCGATTACGTCACCGTCCTCCTTCTGTGACGTCATTTTAAATCCTGGCTGAGTTTCGGTTACTGTCTTAGCTATTTATAAACAACAATAAAGTCAGGTGAACTGTCCAATGGGGCTTCTGCGGCACATATCTTTATGGAATGCATACTATGTTCATATATTTTTTTTGCGTTTTGTTCATTACAAATAATTTTAATTCAGGTACTTCTATCACACAGTTTCATTTGACGCGATGCTTTCGCGCTTCAAACACTAATACCTAGACATATGAATGGCACGAAAATAACATTAGATCCACTGTTGCACTGTTTTGAATTCCTTCAATAAGCTTTCTCTGAATCGATACCGCTCATCGATTTTAATATCACACCTATTCTATGGTTGAATAGCATTAAGGATTTCAGAGATAATATAAAATTTAAGGATATTTTAATAGAGAAATTAAAGATTCCGTATCGTTCCCCGCCCAAGTGTGCGCAGACGCATGTCGGGCGGCGGCGACGGCGGGCGAGCACTGCGGCGGCGGGCGCGGCGCGGAACCGCCCGACTCATTCCGAACGTATATTTTTAACTTTCGAATTTCCTTACGCTAGCGCCGCTCAAAAATATATCTAACGCCTCTAAGAATAAAGCACTCGAGATAACCGACGTTAATATTATTAATACCTACTTTCTTAATGCTTCCGAACCGAGATCCCATTAACCCATATATTTTTTTAATGGAAATAAATGTACGTTTTTAGTTTCCCGCTTGTCGCGTGTTTCAGATTAATGTCGAGAGATTTTCTTACATTTTCTCGCTAAGCGAATTTAATACCATGTTTAAATTGCAAATTAGCAAGTTATTTTGTGCAATTTGTTTCACAGAGTTGCTCAAAGGTTACAAGTATATATTTCAGATGTAGAAGGAGTTTTTATTTTAGAAAAGAGTTTTGTCATTTAGCTGTCCGTTAATAATCAGTTGATCAAATCTGATGTAATTTTAAAGAAAGAAGATTGTCGTTCTCCGAAACAAAATGTTTCTTACAGTTATGTCTTGTATTTTATAGTGACATTTGTTATTTTAACTAAATTTTATATAATATTTTATGTTTATGCTGGCGGACGGCACTTAATGTTTGGTAAGCGTTGTTTTTATTGATTTTTGTACCGTGAAGTTTGACTTATCACAGGTAAATTGAGGTCTACGAGCAATGCAAGAGCAGGATTGCATTTAGTATGGGCCTTGATTTGTACAATAAAGACGAACATAAAGGTATTTCAACCATTAATAATGATTTTTAAGTAGTATATCTCTTGTGAATACATATAAAGATGTATATATACTTTGTGCTGTGGGATCCTAAACTATGTTAGACTTGAATCAAGTTTTCAGTATATAATGTTTGTAATAAATAGATTTGTCAAGCAACAGCTGTTGTGTTGTAGACGTGACATTCGTACTCGTATAGTTATAAAATTATTTACATATATCTACGAAACACAACAAGATACTGGACGTCTAATAAGTGACTTTAGCCTAGTTTTTTTAAGTTCTATTAGCCACCAGGGGCATAACTGAGCATAAGTTACCATAGAGGGGTTGAAAGCTACCCAAAGTTAAGGGTTGTGTTCAGATTATGACGGGCAGCTGCAACGGCGACCCTGAAGTGAAGGAGGAGAAGCGGCTGAACGATGACCTTCTGCTGTTCATGCGCAAGCGCAGCGAGACCGACGCACCGCGCTACACTGCCCGCCTAAAGACATACGTCGACCTGCAACAAAAGTATATGAAACATGCTTAGCCCCTTTACCCTAGGCAATAAGATCTAGTGTTCCTTTTTAGTATAGTTAATTATTGGACAGAATAAATGGACTTGGATAATCCCTAAAAAACACCCTTTAATACTTAAAATTGATGTCACCAGATATTTTGTTTTTATTTTCAATGCTTTTGTTGACATACAAATTTTATTATTTTCGTGTTTATGGTCGCCTGCGAAGTTAAATGTTAGCGTTTGTCAGATTTATTTACGATTAAGTGTAATTGCTGTGTTTGTGGCGTCAGGCGCCGGCGGGCAGCGGTCGCCCGACGCAACGCGGAACATGCTGCCGAGAAAGCTGCCTTTAAGAAGAAAGCAGAATCCGAGCCCAAGGATAAAAGACCTTCATCTGCGTAAATAGACACACTTTTTGTTCTACTTCAATTCAAAAATGATTATTTAACTCTGTCATTATCATCAGCATGTCATTCCACTGCTGGAATTTCACAAATGCCTTTCATAGTATAACTATTTTAGGTTATAATATTTTAATCAACTTAAAATGTTACTATAATGCTTTTCCAGGGAACGGCAAGAGGTCGACGATGACAAATCAAGACGGTAAGTAAATATAATGTGAAATTAGTTTGTCCGTATGTTCACAGTGAACTATAATGTGATGCGTGTCAAGTAATTGGCGCTTGAACTTTGGTAATATTTCTTGTTAAGTAGCCGCGCGATGAAGGATAAGCCGTGGGCCGACAGCGGCTCCTTCTCCAGGGAAGAGTCTGACGCCTGCTGCCGCCGGCGCAGGAGACGCCGCTCCTGTAGACGTGTATGTTCTCATTCTTTTATATTCATGTTAGTCTAAGGTTATTTAAGAGACGATAAAATTGTAAACTTATTGCTTATATAATAAGGTTGATATTATTAGGTACTTTTCACTCGTCGATTAACAATATTGTAGTCAACGGTGTTTGTTGTAATGTCTTTTATATTTGTATGCTTGTAGCCTCGCAGACGGCGGCGATGCCGACGGCGCAGTCGACGTCGACGGCGGCGCAGCGTGTGCAGTCGACGCCGACGCCGACGTCGCCGCCGCTCGCGCAGCCGCCGACGCCGCCGCCGCTGCCGCCGCCGACGTCGACGCCGCTGTCGTTGATGTAACGCCGCTGCTGACGTCACAGCCGCCGCTGCCGCTGACGTCACTTCAAAGTTAACCCGATCCAAATTGAAGCGTGACTGAATACATTGCAAGCTTAGGTATAGTACGTGGAGAAAAAAATGGCATGTCGTTGACTCTTGGAAAGCTAAATTCGTCGTTATCTTTGGTGTCGAAGATGTAAAATCAAAAGTCGATCGTCCCTTTCCAAAGGTTAATACGCCATATTTTCCCCCGCGTTCTGTTCCAATCCACCCGAGCCACAAATTACTGAATGCCGTTCTATCATCGCTGCCAGTTTTGAATCAAATGTGATGTTTTTGTTTTGTGACCTATTTTGTGATATTGTTATTGTAATTTTTTGTGTGTTTATATTTTTTGTACAATTGTTTCTTTACAATTTTTTTACAATGAAAATGTTGTTTAAGATTTATCTGTTATTTTATTTGCACTTCTCTCATTTTACCAAAACTACCAAGTACTAAAGATATCACCTGGCGAGGTGCCTGTGCGGCGGCGAGCACGCGACTGCGTCCGCTAGTTACGAGAACCGCACGCGCCTTCATTTCACTCTCTTTGGACAGAAATCGACAACATTTTCATTGCGGTCAGAAAATGAGAGTGATTCCTCAGCTCTAAACACTTTCAATTTCTTGCGGCACAACGTGCTGTAAGTGAAAACTGTTATCGAACATGTAATCCTTTATATGACACAGTTTACTTAAATTGTAGTTATATAATAAAATAAATTGCCTACGTGGTCTATGTTTTGTGGCAAATTTTAGCGACCGCCGAAATTGAGAGAGATATGTAGGTAATAACAAACAACTCTTCATCAATCCATTTAAACCTTCGCTTTTGACATTATTATTAAATTATATTTGTAAATGACTTTGTTGTTCGTATGATGTTTGTCTGTTTGTATGATCAGCCAAAGGTTAGAAATACCTCTCTACATTTTTTAATTTCTGTTAATTCTTAACACCACTCCTGGTCGTCCGAATTTCATACTTCTGACACAAAATGTTGTCAACCTCATCGTGCGGGACCGTAACATTTCCCCAGTGGGGGCACGCGCTGGGGCAGTGCGGAAAAAACATCAAAAGTTCCTACACCAAGTCAATGAAGTTACAACACCACTGTTTACCTGTCATTTCTGATTTGGCGCTGGTGCCAGCGGACGTCAGTTTGCGCCCTTTTTCCCGCGAAAAATATTTAAAAATAGTTTAAATAAATTATTAGATGATGAATTAGTGTTGTGTAATGATGGCAATCAGTCGTTATAGTGTTCTTTTGTTGAGTGGTGTTTTGGTATGGGCTCAGTTTTTTGACATCAGTGATGCTTACAGTCAAAGAGGTAAGATTTATTTAAACATCTGTTATATGCCACCACTAGACGTAAGTATACGCTGTAATTTAAATAATAATAATTGTTTATTAGACCTGTGTAAATTAAGAACTACACAGTTACACAATACTAAAATATTTGGACCAATAGCACCGATAATTTAATGGTTGGTGGTTGTTGGTCGAATTCTGCCATTCGACTGTCATGAACCATATCCTATTCTCATGCTAATAGGAAAAGTAACAATAATCTATTAATCTTATCAATACTCATAAGAAAGTTGTGTTAATTTTTAAACTTATTGCTTTGGTTTGTTGTTTCGTATAGATAGTTGTCTCTATCTTTATAAAGATGAAGATAGGGATGAGGGAAATATTTTAACACAAGATAGAGGAATTGAAGACTCTCATTAGAGACTTTTAATCGGATAACAGATTAATCGGCCGCTTAATCAGTGTGTATATGTGCAGGTGCGCCTTACACCGATTTTGTCTTATATGATTTTGGTATGACAGCTCGAGCTGACATATCGGCCGATAAATAGTCTATAGTCGGACACCTCTTACTAGTAAATATATCCCAAGCTTTAAAATCTACAACTTCATATTTGATTGAATCATCATTATAGCGCAGGTCATCACACCGATGGAGCTCTAATAAATATAGACTTTCACTGATCTCGTCCACTGATGATAACAATTTAGAATAAATCTAAAGATCGCCACACAAATGGCACGTTTTCCCCGAGCGGGTGCGGACATTGACGAGGAAATTGTATCTGAATACAAGCTTTATTGATTGTGATTTGGAGTACGGAATTAAACCATTTGTAGTCACGTAGTCATCTTAGATATAGTTAAATAGAATATTTTATTTTCTAGCATATATGAAACTAGCTGTTGCTTGCGACTTCGGCTGCGTAAATTTAAAGAATAATGAATAAATCAAAATAGCATATGTTACTCACAGATAAATTTTCTAACGGTAAAATAATTTTTAAAATCGGCTCAGTAACGTTTGAGTTATTTCAATATATAAAAAAAACAAATCTTTCCTCTTTATAACTACTAAAGATAAGCTCAATGCAGTTTTTAGTTATAGTAATAAGAAGTATTTCATACATACTTCGTCCGTTACGCTGTAACTTTAAGTTATTGACTTATGTAGTACTCGTGTACACATTAATTCAGAAGTTAGCAGCAAACATGTAAATAACAAAAAAAATGTTGTTATCCTGATATTTCTTAAGTTTACATATTTATATGTAATTAGCTTTAGCCCGCGACTCCGTTCCCATGGAATTAAAAAGTAGCTTATGTATTCTTCCAGGCAATCCTCTACATCTAAGCCATATTTTATCAAAATCATTTCAGCCGTTTAGGCTACAAACTTCAACAAACATCCATGTAAACTTTCGCATTTATAATGTTAGTAAGATTGCTTCCGTAGTCCATAAATTCATGAAAATAAGATAAAATTACTGTGTACCTTACTACCTTAATTCCCACTGTTGTTTTAAAAAAACGAAAGTCATATAAACTTTATAATTTCAACTGATAACAACACGTCTAAATTAAATTACACCAATAAATTGAAATGAGATTAAAAGAACTCCTTTTAGTAGCGGCGTTGAAACGGAATGTCGATTGCAAAACGTTACGAAACCAAAAGTTTATTGTAGGAAAGCTAAAAAGCAGAAGTAAAGCGCTCAGATGACGTCACAATACGGAGCGCGATGGATTTCTCGGCGCGGTTCCACTTGGCTCCCGCGTATTGTACCTTTTGTTTTGTGATAGCAGTGAACTGCGAGTAATTTAATTGATTTCGTAAAATTTATGAGTAATAAATTATATTGACTTTAAAGTAATTTTGATTTCAGTTTAATGGAACATAATTTAATTATTATTTTATTATTATGTTTATTAACTTGACTATTTCTAATAACCACACTTTAATAACAAAGACATTACATTGTGTCGATTATCTAGGATAGGTCACCCTAGACACTAGATTATCGGCTCGCCCTGGAGTCAGCTAAGCTAAGCAATTAATGTTGTTGTTACTGTAAGTGGTATTATAGTTTCTATAGTTAATTTTCGAAAAAAAAATCATTTAAAACCTTGGTTACACCTTAGATTATAGTTAAAAGTGGCGCGTACCAGTCAATTCGCTGCGATGGCGGTAGTCTACGATCGGTATCGGTTTTCAGTGATTTTTATCGAGTTTCTAAGATTGTGGCGACGCGACGCCGCAGCCGTTGCGCCGCCAGCGCCGCGCCGCGCCGCGGTACGCGCGGATTAGATCCACTTTCACGTATTTACACTTGGAACGAATTATACGTAACAAACGCTTCCTGTTATCTTTCAATTAAATTTGACACTTGTTATTACAAGCATATTGTGATAATGATTCTTTGGTTACTATTTTATCGGGGCATTTTTATTTGATAATATTATAAAAAAGATTTGGATTTTTATATTTTTGTATGTATTGAAGTAACTTAAAAACTACTGGGCCGATTTAGAAAATTCTATCATCATAATTAATCTACGTTTTCAGTAAATAACTCACGGTAATATTTAGTTTCAAGCGGAAGAAGTCGCGAACAACAAATAGTTGTCTATAAAATGTTGTGCGCACCGCATTATTTGATTAGAATTTATTGAATTGTTGACGCCTGCATTAAGTCATTAACACGAACAAGGAAGCTGCAATAGAAATCAAATGACACAACTAAATCGAAACGATCCCGTATCGTATTCCACGTTCGTAACGTCATTTAATTCTATTCCGTAATGCAATAATGATAATTCCCTTCCAACTGTACGTAATTCTAGATGACAGTTTCTCGGCTTTCACTATCTAGGGTCGCGGGTTCGACGCCTGGTCGACGATGACCGCTCAAACCATGCGGTAAATAAAACCAACGCTCGTTTGTCATTTGCAATCATTATTCATTTGTCATTTGTTTTAATGATTATTTAATTACGATCTCCATAATGTCAACTCAACCATTAATTAGTCGTCTTGGTTAAGGAAGACCGAAGAAAATATGGATTGGTTTGTGTTAAAGAGGATATGCTGAAGACGGTAGTGAATTCAGATAGGTTGATAGAGATGTATGGAAGAGCAGCACATACTATGCAAACAATAGGGCAAGCAGATGACGAGTTGATCATGAGAAAATTACACTAAGGGTCTTCTTTAGGGTCCAATTAACGTTTCTGAGTTTGACAATATGTGATGTAGTAACTACTAGTATGTATTAAATAATGCAATAAATAGAAGTTGCGGAATGCGGAAACTAGAAGTCTTAAATAACATTTCTATGACTTGCATCAATCTTTTCCTTTGTCGGACTTAGTTTAGCTCGCGCCGGAACATTGCGTAAACTTAGGAAAGTAACGACACCATAATAACTAAAGGAATGCTTTTCATTGGTGTTATAATAACGATATGTAAGTCATAAGCGGTAGCGTTTGTTGAACTTAACAGATTAAATATTTTTCGTCTTATTATTGATAGTTTTCTGTGGTTGTTGAATCGATCTTTGGGATTAGCTAAATTTATTTGAAACGTGTTACGTGTAAATATACTTTAAGTATTCTTTGATAATTAGCTTTTTAATTTGTGACATGTTATATAATTTTGATACTCTTTGGATATAAAAACTGTAAGCGATACCATGGGAACATGTTGTTGTTAAGTCAGGGGGATGAATAAAAAGAAAACTAACCTGGAATAAATCGTTTTAATTCTCAACAATCTGATTTTACAGCAGTTATTGCGTTATTTGGAAGTTCTGCACTTAGTCTGTGTAACTGATGTCTTGTTTGTAATATAGACTATAACTATATTATGATAACGATTTCTATATTTTTGTTTGGTAGATGTTCTTTTAGTCCGTTTTAATCAGATAATTTTAAAAATATTATTATTCTTAAATTTAACAATTTCTTTAAAATTCGGTGAATTTTGACAAAATTTCAAATCGCTTATTGCTTGTGCCGTATCAGATTGCGTTATAGATTCATTATAAGCAATGCAATGGACAGTGGGCGGTGCATTATGGTACACTAATTCAATCAAGTTGCGTCATCCAGGGAACGAGGGAACTGATGAAGATATGATTACAAAATGTTGAAATATTGAGCAAGCGCATAGATTTGTGTAGCCAGACATTTTTGCTTTAACAGTAACTCTAAAATGCATTTGTTTTTATTTAAGACTATTTATTTCTCATGATTTCGACAGCGTAAAATTTAAAAAAAAAAAAAAAAAATATAGCCAATGTTACTTACTGATAAAGTAGCTTTTTAATGTTGAAAAATTTTTTTAAATCTATCCAGTATTTTTGAGTTATTTCAATACATACAAAAATACAAAACTTTCCTCTTTATAATATTAGTATAACTAGATTAAAAAGGTTAAGTTAATGACGATAGTATTATGTACAAGAGGTAATACATATGTTAACAATATGTAAGTTCAATTTTCATGTATCATGATTAACTATCAATCTATCGATAAACCAATAACCGCGAAACAAACCGCATTCATACGTATTCAACCACTTTCACACAAATACAATCCTTTACTTATATACAGATTTAAGTTAGCTTTAAGTTGCCAAATACACTTAAATTTTAACATACTTCAACCATTAATTAACTGTGACTTGTTCGATTTGGATTTTCGACAGATCAAAGTTGAAACATTATTTTGAGTAGGTACGTAATGCGATTTAGACAAATCTTACTTATAAATGCGAAAGTTTAGATGGATGTTTGTTAGAGTTTGTAGCTTAAACTCCTGAACGGATCTAGATTTGTAGATGTAGAACATAGTCTGGAATAACATATACTACTTATTATGTTTTATTTAATTCGAAAACAGTTAACAATAAAGTTACATTGAAGCAGTGTCAAAACTCGTATTTAACAGAACAATGTCTCTATATTTTTAGGTTATAAGTTTTTAACTGTTCAATATGAAAATATTATTAAATT